CCAGGACAAGTGTCGGGACAGTTAGATGATTAAATAAAAAAAAAAAAAAAAAAAGCCAAAAAATACTTGAAAACATGTTCTTTACTGCTGTGTGACTTCTTTAAGAGTCACAAACAAATATCTCTTCACCTGGATAGAGTATCTAAGACAGGTCAAAGAAACAATTCTACTCAAGTCTAGCTTGACGAACCTAAGAGTTCATTGGGGTTACAGGAGAATTGGGTGATTTGGGGGCAACTGAATTGCCAAAAGATGCACCCTAATGTGGGTAAAGAATCAAGAAAGCTGGATCCTGGAATTTCCTGCCGAGTTTCCAGGCAGCTTCACTAAGATCCCTTCTCCTCTAGCAATTGTATCCTGCTCACACAAACTCAGGAAGGGGTCCTGTGAGCATGGTAACTCCGGTACTTTCTGAGCAAGGTTTCATGAGCTTCCTGAGCCTTATGAGTTTCCTTCAGTATTGAGTCTTATGAACCCCCTACTCGTTTTCAGAATGCTTCAATTTGGAGGAAATGGTTACATTAGCCATTAGAGAAATATAAATCAAAACAACATAGAGATTCCATTTCACCAGTCAGAGTGGTTATCATCAAGAAAAATTCTGGGGAGGGTGTAGGGGAAAGGAAATCAGTATCAAGGTTTCTCAAAAAACTAAAAATAAAACAGCCATATGATCACCCATACCAACCCAAAACGTCAAAGTCAGCATATGAGAGAGATAGCTGCAAATTCATGTTTTTATAGCAATATTAACAACAGTTGATTTAAGGGATTGTCCTAAGTGCCCAGCACTGGATGAAGGATAAAGATAATGCAGTATATGGACACAATGGAGTTTTATTCAGTCATAAAGAAAATAAAATTGGAGCTAGAGAGGTAACTCAGTGGTTAAGAGCATACACTGCTTTTGCAGAGGATCCAAGTTTTGTTCCCAGCACCCATGTGGAAGCTCACAACCATCTGTAACTCCAGCTCCAGGTGATCTATGCCCCTCTCGGTTCTGAGAGCACCATCACTCACATATGCACATAGCTACACACACACACACACACACACACACACACACACACACACACACTTAAAAAACAAACCTTTAAAAAAAGAAAACAAAGTTACATCATTTGCAGAAAAATGGATGAAACTGGAGGTCAACATGTTAAATGAAATAAGCCAGTCTCAGAAAAACAAAACTGTTTTCTGTAACATATTGAGTCCAGTGTCTTAATTACTTTTTTTTATCACTGTGACAAAACACCATGCCCAAGACACCTTATAAAAGAAATCATTTAATTTGGGGAATCGTGATTCCAGGGGATTAGAGTCCACGACTGTCATGGTGAGGAGTATGGCAGCAAGAAGGCAGGCATGGTACTGGAGAAGGAGCTGAGAGCTCACATCTGAGTGTGAGCTTTTGAAAACCCAAGCCCACTCCTGATGGCACACCTCCTCCAACAAGGCCACACCTCCTAATCCTTCTCAAACAGTTCCATCAGCTTGGAACCAAGGATTCAAATATGTAGGGAAAACACTCATACATATAAAATTTAAAAAACAGCCTTATGGTGCTGGGCATAGCAGTATACCCCTGTAATCCTAACCTCCCAATAGGCGGAGGCAGGGGGACCACAAATTCAAGGCCTGTCTGGGCTACATAGACAGTTCCAGGCCAATATTATGATCTTGAATGGACTCTGCCTCCAGCTGGAGGGGTGTCCTTGTCTCTTCCCTGAAGAGTTAATCCGCTGGGCAGGTCAAGGTGCTGGCTCAGTGGGCATCCTTAGAAAAATGGGTTCACTTTAAAATAATTTTGTTTTCCTTCCCAGAATTCCTGCCCTACCCATACCCCACCCCACCCACAAGTGCAGTCCCTACAAGTGGTCATGAGCTTTGGCTTGCTTGCCTTTCTGAGTCCCAATTCAGAAAGATTTAATTATTCCCTTTTTTTTCTCTTCTATCTTTTCTTGTGGATGCTAGACAGACCCTACATATGCTTTCCCTGTTACCTTGGGCTTCCTCACTGTTCTCTGTAGCCCCCTCCTCGCCACTGCCTGCCGCCTGCTGTCAGAAACAGCACGGCAATTTTCTCTCTCTCCTCCAGCAGCTGCGAGATTTACAGCCTGCCTTCTCTGGTTTTTGTTTTTTTGTTTGTTTTTCTTTTAAACTGTAATTGTTGTTAAGCTTCCATTTGAATATGTTTTTAAATTATTTTATCAATGAGACTAAAAACACCAAAGGGGACTCCAATATTCCTGGTATAATATGATGGTTCCTCCTGGACTCCCCAAGATTTACGACAGTGCTTCCATTTCTGTCTTGTATAATATTAGAAGGACCAGCCTTAATATTATACATCCCAGGGGCTCAGGAGAGAAACTATGAATGGCAAGGACTATTTTCGGGAAATAGAGTCT